GGAAGGATTTCCTTGACTACATATAGAATGTGCTCTGTGAAAGGCACCAGCTTCTCAGAGATTCATCCTTGTTTCTACTATGAGCACAAAAGTTGAAAATCAAGAGTGTGCCCAATTTAAGGGCTTACATCTTTGTATCCTATATCTTGCTCAAACACTGCTTGAAGTTCAAAGATTATTGTATAGCTCAAACAATCAAATGGTGTTCTAGACCTTTATTTTTACAATAAACTTTCCCAAAAACATTTCAGATATCTGGTTCATTTCATTTCAGCCATCTCCAGGACTCTCGAAGTTATTTCTGAGCCTCATTCTTAACCCTGTTTTATTTCCTTGATCCCTTCCCTGATGTCTCTTCTCTCTCCCTGAATTTATTGATGGCTACCTTGAAGCTATATAAAATAATAGGCATGGCTGACAACACCATATCCTTTTCTATTTGTCACAGAGGTGAGTTCCTTTGTAAAACTGAGAAATTTTAATGGGACATTGCTGCTTAAACTCCTAGTCTTATTTCCTACTCTTTGAAATTCTCAAAAGCAGTCAAATCTTGTGAGCCTCCAAATTTCTGGACTATTTTTCTTTACGTATTTCCCTTTGAAGGCCAGAAATTCCTTGCTTGAGTTCATCTCTTTCTTTTAATACCTTTTTTTATAAGCATGAAGAAGCCAAAAGAAGACACTAAAATTTGTTTCTTTCCAATAGCTTTCCTAAAATTAGAGGCTCAGAAGGCACATAGCCTGTTTTCCTAAAATGTTAGACAATATTTTAACATATATATTGCCACTGCATAACATGAAATCTCTAGCTTTCTGGCAAAATATGTCATTGATTGCTCCTCAGTACCATATATTTAAGTTTTTTTCAGAGCAATATCTCACTTTAATCTGCACATTTCCATACTAGTTATATTGGGCTAAATTAAAATAGGAAATAAACACAAAAATATATATGGTATCAAACATCACAGAAATATATTTCTCACTTATAACAGCTCAAAGCAGGCATTCTGATTAGCTAGCCTTCTTTCCTATTCATTAATTTGGAGATGCAGATTTTATTTTCTCTTGTAGATCTATCAGTCCCAAAGTCTTGTCATCAAGGAGAATGATATCCTGAAAGGCTACAATCTCTTAAAATCTTTGAGGAGGAAATAGCACAGGTTATATATAATCACATTTCATTGACCCGTCCCAGTCAATGGAACTGACTGGTTACCAACATTAACACCAAGAATGACTGAAAAATAAGATTTACTTTGTGAGCAAAAAGAAAAATGAATCCTGAGAGCAGCCCACAGTCTTGCCCTTTTCCTGCATTCTCTGTGCTCCAGCTACACTGATCTCCCTCCAGTTTTTTGGTAGTGACATATTCCTTCTGTAATGGGGATTTTTCCCCTCTCTTTCCTCTATCCAAAATGTTTCTCCTACCACCTTTATGCTTATATTAACTTTCAGCTCTATGATCTTTTTTGTCTTTCTTAAGGAAGTATTCTCTGTCAGGTCAACCCCTGTACCTATGTCCACAGAAGCAAGGATAGTTACTGCTGTGATACTCATCACACCTGTTATCACAAAGCTCTGTTCTATTACTGCTCATCACTGTAACATCATCACCTAGCACAATGTCTGGAATATCATTGGCTATTAATTTAGAGCAAATAAATGGATCAATGAGTAAATGCTCTTCCAAAAGCTTATTTCTTAGGCAAAGTGGACGAAATTATACTCATATCCTAGTTTCAGCACCGTTAATGACATAGGGAGCCAGACTAGGGATGTGTAGAAAGGGGAAAAATGTTTCTGAGATTTGCTTTACTGTGCACAAAATTGTAAAGATTTTATTAAAGGGTTTGTAGCTAAATATAGACTGGAAAATAAATGCAGTTAATACTTTTTTATCTGATAATTAAAGACGGGAAATTAAGCAAAACCAGAAATATTTAAAAAGGCATTACTCATTATTTTTAGTAATTTTGTCCACTATTGGCTTTTCTTGGTCTGCCTCAATAGAAACATTATTGGTTTGAATTTGTGTTTTGATAATTTTCTTTCTAACATGAAGGTCAACACTATGCAAAATGCCTGGGAAATACTTTCATTTAAATACACAGCTTATACACAATGATGAGAGAATAGCAGTATCACTTATAATTCAGTACTAGAGTGACTGGAATTCCAGATAAAATTTCTGTTAAGTCAAGGTTATGTGTCAATACAGTAGACCACTGCAACTTTAATTACTAACATTGCGTTATAGGCGGACAATATTAGGCTCATTGCATACTGTTTCTGTCTGGAGTATTATTTATTTAACACTTTTGGATTCCATATTATCACCAACTCCTTCCCAATTGTCATAGCAAGTGGAGGATTGCTGTGGCAATGAATCTGGAGTCTGTATTTTTTTTTTCACCCATGATAGAATGTATCAAGGACTTATGTAATACAGAGTCTTTAAATTGATGTGAGCAGGTACCTCTTAGCTTTTTCCAGTAAATTGTATTTATTGAAAACTGCAACTGTTAATCATGGCTGTAAGGATATGAAAAAAATTCTAATACCAAAGTACTTAGAAATTAAAAAATTAACTTCAGAATGTACACTTAATTAATGCAACTTCATTCATTCATTTAAGAAATGTTTATTTTGCCAGGCTCTGTTCTGTGTAAACAGCACAGAAGTATATCCCTGTTGCATTGGGGTTAGCATTAATCATATATTTTTCCACTCTTACATGTGATACCATGTTTATTGAATACTACTAGAGGCCAGGCACTATATTAAGTGCTTGGATGGGGAAGATTAAGAGGACATGCTCCCTGACATCAAAGAGCACACAGGCTAGTGTGTGGAATACTACATTAGCATTTACTGAGGCAATATGTATTAAAATAAGGTTGGAGGATTATCTAAATAATTGAAGCCATTTTATTTTTTTGGCATAAAGGCTTAGCCAAAAATTATTTCTGATGAATGGTATTTCTATTTCTATTTATTTAAAAATAGTCTTATTTGTAAATAAGTGATGTACCTACAAGAATAAATTATATGGAAAACAGAAAATGTCAGAATGAATTTAGGACAATATTTCAGCACTTGGAAAGTTACTGGCAGCATAGCAATGACATTTGAAAAGAATATCTATGCAAACTTAAATATATATTATTTAATGCCAACCATTGCTGATACCTGTAAGCTATACTTTACGTTTCTTTTCCCTATTGCATTGCACCTAGATCTACTTATTACCATAAAGCTTCTATTTTGGCCTGCTATAAAACAGGAGATCAAAACACTAACAGGACTTCTCTTGAATGTGCAAAAAAGTGAGAGTGTGTTCTTTTCCTCTCAGGAAATTATCAGAAATATATCCGCATGTATCCTTCAGAACAACTATTTCATTCCCTGCTTATTATTTCTAAGAAATTCTGGCCCCTGTTAGTCTCCGAGGCTGTACAAGGCTTTACATCTCCAGATAAAAGAAATCAGGGTATCATTTAAATCCTATATAGATGCCTATATTTCCAAAACAATGCATCTAAATTCAGAATCAGCAAATAGATTGTGGCAGAATAAACATATTATTGTCATTAAAGGAAGAAAACATTTAAAAATAATTATATAATTGTATACTCAATATGGGTAACTAAATTATTAGAATACTCTGTGAAGCTCAGGGAAAAGATATTCTATAAATTTCAAAGAAAATTGATAGCAGCATTTTCCAAAAGTAAATAAGTACATTATTACCAATCTGGATATATATGCAAGTTTCCCATGTCATTTAATTCGCTGTAATGTAGGTGTCCTATTGCAGGCATACCAATCTTATCTTTATCATACCATTTTGCTCCTTCTCAGGTCTTGATGGTCAGCTTTAGCATTCATTTCATGGGTTTCAGAAATGGTTCAGAAATGCAGGTGTAACACCTTATCTTCAAACCTTTCAGCATTTAATCAACTTCTCTTGAAATTCATCCTTACATTGTAGGTTTATCAGATGCCATTGTTTAGTATAGTGAATTTGATACTACATTTAACATTCATCAGGCCACCTTTTTTTTTTTTTGAAGCATTCCCTAGTAAGGAGAGAATAGATTGCAGCCTGCTGATATGACTTTTATTTCTACATGCTCTGTCAGAGCATCTGTAAAAAGAGAATGTAGCAGGGGGCAAAGTTCTTTTCTTGGAGTACAAAACGATAATGCGCATAATCATGCCCTTTCCACCCATATGACTCTATGGGATATTCAGAAATTGGGGAGCTGCAGCACCTGCCAGCCCTTTTGCCTCTGGGTTCCAGCCTGAACTGCGTGGTACCTAAGGCCATTGAATCAGCCCCTTACTCATCAGTAGTCTCCTCATTTTCACTCAGAACACCAATTGGCATAAATAGCCTGAGGACTCTGAAGAATTCTCTTCCTTTTGGACACTCGGAGACTGAGTTCATTAACTGCTCCTCAGCGTAAAGGGCAGTTCTCAGCTGTAAAGACAGTATCTAATTCGAGATTGAAAAGTATTGTATTGTAAACTAAAACTAAAACCTTAACCCCCATCCTGCCCTCTACCATGTGCTGTACAGACCCGCTTGTGGCTAAAGGACCCCCATAAAAAAAGCTTAAAACTAAGTTTCTTGTGGCCAAAGGAACCCCAGAAAAAAAAAACAAAACCGAGTTGGTGAAAGGATGGGAGGTCAGACATGCTTTGTTATATGGCATACCTTTCATGATTTACACACAATTGACCAGCATTAATGTTAACCTAGAGATCATAAGACCAACAGAACAGACTCTCTTGCAATCAGATACCCAATTACAAGCAAGACCAAAGGCCATGTCAGGCAAGGGTTTAGTCTGACATGGATACACTTAAAAAATAAACTACGTTGTAACTATGTTATAAAGCTTTTCTTTTTCTCTAGGCTAAACAAGCACTGGCCTCCAGATAAGCATGTTAAGTAATATTAAAATGATTTTCAGGTCATCCACTGCCAGACACTGAACTCCAGCCCCTTTTTCACTAGCCATAACTACAGCTATGATTGGACAAGAAACTGATTTCAATAACTTTCTCCTGTCAAGAAGGACCCTCCACCAAGGACTGATTCTGGCCTGTTTACAGAAGTTACATATTTCATATGCCTTCAAGTCCTGAGAAAAACTTTTGACATATAAGGCCTAACTAATACATTTAAATGTTAAGTCTCCACCCAAAAGTGAACATGGGTTGTCTGTAACACACATGTTTATTCAATACGCATGTGTTAGGACCATCTTCATGAGTATGGAAGTAAGAAGAAATCTCTGTGATATGCTCCTCTTGTAACCTGTTGAAAGCATGTATTTAGCCAACCTTTTCAGCATAAAGCTTCTCCCCCAACCCCTGCTACTTTGCAGTGCCTGTCTTTGGTCTTTGCAAGGAGGCACCTTTCACAGCTTGCAGGATGGCAGCCACCTTAAAAGTTGTAACCTTTTATAAGACTTAAAGTCTTCTCTCCTTTTGTAAATGTATAAGTTGTGCTGTGCTTTTTTTTTTTTTTCCAGTTAAGAGTATAAATGAGCCACAGATAGCTTCTGTACATTGGCCCCTAGGTTATTTCTTCACTATGGGCTGAGACTCCCTTAGCTCAAAAGCCTACTGGCTCCAAACTCAAATTTTTACACATCAAATTATTTTAAATATGGCCCAAACAAGCACATTTTTAATCATTCACAGTCTGCTTGTCTTGCACACTGCATAAAGCCTCACATCACAGCTATTACCTAATGATAAGATAGGGCTTAGCAGTTATAGCTCCTCTGGTCCAGAGACTTCCTACCATCCTTCTAAGCCACATCACCCAGACATCTAAGCCCTTTCTTTATCCACTACTCTGAGAGTTTCCTTGCTCTCCACCCCTATGAGGGTAGCAACACCCCCACCTCCCCTACACCTCCAAACCACCACACCATAACCTCTGTACTTCCCCTACCTGCAAACTGGTCAAAGCAACCTCATGGTCATATCTTTTTCCTAGATCAGCCATCAAATCCCTCAAACCCCCTAAAAAAGTCATCTGCTACAAAGACAGTTAAAATGCCCCTTCAAATAAGTTTTTCATGTCAGAGGCTCGAAATTGTTATTTCTACAAGAATACATCAAAACAAAACACTAAACTAGGAGAAAAAAAGTTGCAATCACCAGGTAATGGCCTAGAGGAATTGATGGCAGGTACATGTGAAACATACCCTGTATTCTACCAGAAATGAGAAGAATGTTTTAGTGAGGCTGAAGTTTGTGCCTCACAGGATGAAGTCAAAAAGAATAAAAATAAATTAGCTACAGATAATTTGTAACTACGAAAGCGCTCCTGGTGGAGTCTCTATTATAAAGGGTAGCCAAAGAGGACTATCAAGTCATAAGCACGGTATTCTAGACCATAAGAACTTTTATTTTGTGAGTAGAGGTTCTTATTGTGGGATCCGTGTGACAGGGATTTTTGGCACAGGCTTCGTGGGGAGGGCTTCATAAACCACTTGATTTTGAGTGCAAAGATGTGTAACGATGTGTGAAGTGCATGTGGCAGCATCTGCTGGTAGTCTTTTAAAGTCCATCCTACCACTCTACCTTAGATGTTTTTTCCCAGCCTTTCTTGCAATAGATGTGGTCACACAGTTAAGTTCCAGCCAATGAGACTTGAATGGAAATAAGAAGAAATCTCTGTGATGTGCCTTTAAAAGAATAGGAAAATATTCATTTTCAATCCTTTCTTCTTTCCTGCTGGCTAGAATATACACAAAATGACAAGAGCTCCAGCTCTTCCTGATATGATGAGCAGCCTTGGAAATGGAAGCCTTGCACAGTAAGCTATAAGATAAAACTGGCTCATGAGAATGCCAAGGTACCCCTAGACTGCCTATCTCCAAATTATTATATGAAAGGGAAACAATCTTCTTTCCTTTTTAAGTTTTAGATTTTGCTTTATCCTAGCCTATTTCTCAGTGATACAGGATATTTTTTATGTGATGGTTTCTACATTTTTAAATTCTTTTTTCAAAAAGGTCTTTGATACTGAAATATTTACTAACTGCTCTTTGAGAAGAATGTGTAAATCCTTTTGGGATAGAGGATGGTAAGAAAATGAAAATTAAATTACTTGGCAAGTCTTCTTTGGGATTTAGTAGAACCCTGATCATTTGACAGTATTGAATGAAAGTTAGGCTAACCTATTAGAACTAGTCACTCGTCACTCTTCATTCAGATTTCAGAAATGGCTGTTGTTCACATCTATTATGAACAAAGGACATGACATGTCCGTCATTTTCTTTATGAGCTTCGATTTAGTATCATCCAAAGTTAAAAGAAGAAAGTATAGAGTTACTTGCTTTGGGCAAAAATTAATGAATACAGGCCATTGAATCTAAGTGTCAGAGGAAACAATTATAAAAATCTTGGCAGTTGGAAGTGCATAGGGGTCCTGAGGAAAATGAAAAACTTTGTCAAATTGTAAAATACTCATTTTAGAGATACTAATTTTAGAGTGGGAACAACTAGTAAGGAAAGGGGACGTGGATCAGTACATAGTGTGACCTGTGTTTTCTTTAGCTAGTGTTTCTTCCTTGGTCTTATTTTTTAAATGTAGCTCTAATTAATTTTTGACTGTATTGAGGGTATGCTCATAGTATTTTGAGTGCTAGCCTTACTGTTTAGCTTATTTTTAAAAAATTATTCTACTCTCGAGTGTAACTTTATAACATTTGGGAAATCAATATTTTTTCCTGAAAGAGCAGTTATAATTTTATAATAAATAGCAATAAAAAATCATATTGACTGAAAAATTTAAGTTATATAAACTATTGAAAACATATATAAAATACTTTGATTAGTGCATAGTATATATAAATATATATATGTCCTCTATAAATATTCACTATTATTATTAGCTATATAATGCCTTTTTTAGTAAGAAACATACATTTTTACTTCCAGTTATACCTCTAGTGGCAGATGCCTAGACATAATATCACATTCCAATGTTTAGAAATTTTGAGATATAAAAGTAAGAATAGGCTATTTGTATTGAAAAATTATTAGCTAATAGAAAAACATTTAAACATGAAAAGGATACTTACAAACTCTCTGTCAAAAAATTATCAAAGCTCACAAGGCAGCTTTCTTGCCTAAAACTTCAGTAGCGAATACCTTATTTAAAAAAAATATAAAAGTAAAGTGTAGAAAAACAAACCAGAATATACCATTCCATTATAACAACTTGCTATGCTTTGAATGTTTATGTCCCCACAGAATTCATAAATTGATATCCTAACCCCAAGTGATGGCATTAGGACGCGGGCTTTGGGGGCGGTAATTAAGTCATGCAGACAGAACCCTCATGATTAGCCTCCTTATAAAACAGGGGCTGAGGCTCCATATACTTTCTTTGTCGCTTCTTCCATGTGACGTTACAGTAAAAAGATGGTCATCTTTGTACTAGAAAGGGGCCCCTCACCAGATACAAGATTTGTCAGCCTCTTGGTCTTAGATTTCTCAGATACCCGAACTCTGAGAAATAAATTTCTATTTTTTTTTAAACCATTGAGTTTATTATATTTTGTTACAACTGAATGAATGTACTAGACACCACTATTAGCAATTTCATATAAATAATATATAATGTATACTATCAAATGAAATATGCAATTATTTTATAAGCTATATTAATATTATTACTATGTTTTTCCCACTAAATGATGTATCTTAATCATCTTTCATTACTTTTTAACAGCGTTATTTTTAGAAATTGCAACTCACATGTACATGCTATAATTTTCTAAATGAACTTGAATCATTCAGATTGCTAGCAATTTTTTTCCCATAAACACAGTGCTGTATCATCTTGCAGTAAATATTTATGCAAACCTTGATTTGTCTAGTACAAATTCCTAGAAAGCTGAGATATATACACACTTGTGAGATGTATATACTAAAAAATTTTGCAGCAGATATATGGTGTCAATTTTTGCCACTCTTAACATTGTATGAAATTGTCAATTTTTTTAATACGTTGCCTAATCATGGGTAAGAATTTTCCTTTTTTCTCTCCTTTCTTTCCATCATATATTCTTTTCTACTTTCTATCCCTCAGTGTTCCTGTTCTTCCTTTGTCTCCCTACCTCTTTCTTTCTCCCCTTCCTTTTCTTTTTCCTTTTTTTAATCCATTTTGCCAAATCAGTAATGAAAAAGGAGGCACATTACTTTTTTTAGTTTTACTTAAATTACAAATGAGTTTGAATCCTCATCACATGCATTATTTATATTTTTTATTTTGTAAATTGTTTTGCCAATTATATTGATACATTCATTTTATTAAAACCTCTTTAAATATTAAAATGTTAACCATTGCCTGATGAGAATGTAAAATTTTTATGTCTAAAACTCTTTTTTAAAATAAAGTCTACCAATCCCACCCATAGATTTTGTAGATGCCCATTGTATTTCCTTGGGTATTTTTAATAATTTTATTTACATTTAAGTGTACATTTTCTCTAGTAATTTGAAATGCTGCCCTTTCTCATAGTTTTAATTCTTACATTAACAAGATTTGTTTTCAGGATCTTTTGTTCTTTCTCTCTTTCTTGGCTTATCTGCCTGTCTTTTCCTGTACTTGTTCCCCACTTTAAAAATTACAACATTTTTATAGTATGTTTTAGTATTTTCAGAATTAGTTACACATCTGCCTCTTATCTTAGTCATTCACATATTTATTATAATACACAATTTTAAAATTGTAAGTCAATACCAAGAATATAAAGTTAAAAATTAAAATTAAAATCACATAACAGAAATATTAGTACTCTGTGTTTATAGACAGACAATGAACCTAAAGCTCTTTTATAATTTCAAGCACTTAAATGGTTAAATATTGTGTATATTAGAAAGGGTACTAGAATCTTGTGAATGTTCTTCACCTGTGTGCGCATTATTAAAATGAAAGCAGAAAATTTATACTGGACATTGAAATTTGTCTATTA